ATAATGTAAATTTAAAAGGTAAAATAAATTGATTTATATATATGTATATGAATGATTGTAATAAATTTTTCTAGATTTATATATTAAAAAGTTTATACATATACATATATATACATATACATATACATATACATATATATATATATATGTGTGTGTGTGTGTGTGTTTGAGGGGGGATGATATCAAATGAGAACCACAAAAAAGTTACAGATTTATAAGAATTGATATAGAAAATAATTTTTTGCATTAAGCTTTTCATCAAAAACTATTGTTTAAGATATTATTTTACATAATTTTGTGTTCGCTTTATGAAAAAATCACATGTGAATTTTTTTTTGTCCACTTACACCATCTCCAACCAACACTAAAATATATTTTTTTTATCAAATTTTATGATTCATCATCTCCTCCTTATATACTTGTAATATTTTGATAAACTTTATTCTCTTTATCAATGTGAGATAATCAACTCAACATTACAATCAAATATCTGAGCAACTTTTTGAAAAAAAAATGATGGCTAATTATGTCAAATTTAACTTAAAGATTTTCAAATTTCAATTCAACATCTCCTTATTGTATATTCATATTATTTGTGAATCTATTTTGTCTCTATTATTGTGGGATTATCAACTTACCACCACAATCCAAGATTTGAGAAATTTTCAAACCTCATTGTACACATCATTTACATTGGTTATATTTAACAAATAAACACATCTTTTTTGTGAAAAAAATTAGACTAAAATTATTCAGCTCTATTAGTTTAATCGAAGATTTTTTTTTTTTTTTTTGGAAAAAAGTGACTAAATTTTAATTTAACCAACCAAAATTTTCTATTTCAATTAATTATCACTTCCTTTTATAATACTAACATTTGTTAAAAAAAATTTCTCTATTAACATGAAATAACCAACTTCATAAAAAAGATGGTGGCTCAAAGTTATATTTAATCAACCCAAACTTTTTAGTTTCGATACATCATCTCCTCCTTATATGTTCATAGTATTTGTGAAACTTTCTTTCCTCTATCAATGTGAGATAATCAACTTAGCATCACAATCCAAGATTCGAGAAATTCTCAAACCTTATTATGCCACAACATTTACCTTTGGTTGCTCCTTTTATATATATTTATATATATATATATATATACACGTATATATATATACATATTGATATAACAGTAATGCATCTTTCATCATCATATAAATAAAAGAATATATGCACTGATGTAAATAAAATATATATGCATTGATGTAAATAAAATATATATTCATTGATGTAAATAAAAATATTTGTTTGTGAATTCTAATTTCATTTATAAAGAAAAAAAATAAATATATTTGAAAACTTCTAATTGAACCACATATTGAATATATATATATATATATCGATTGATTTTGATGATTTATTTTTTTAATTGTCATGTAATTAAAAATATGTATGTATTAATTTAAATAAAATTATATGTAGTTTTGTATATTTGTGGATTCAATTTTCTTTATAGAATAATGAAAATAAAGTTAAAATGTAAGAAAATGAAAGAGTTAGCAATTAATGTGTTAATTATATATTAAAAATAATGAAAAATAATGAAAAAGAAAAGATAATAATCTTCTCATTAAACAACCTTTTAATATATATATATATATATATATATATATATACATACTTATAATAAATAAGTTACTTGGATGACACGTTTCATCTTCTGGTGAGTCGGTTTTCTTGTTTTCCCGCCTAAACATGTATTTAGACATAATCTACATTAGTGGTTCAATTATACTCATTTGATTGACATGTGTCCTCTTATTCAATCAATCCCACTAATTTAGGATGCAATTGATTTTATTTTTGGGTTAATTAATTCGTGCGGTAACCGATCCCCAAAAAAAATGTTGTTTACTTCTAAGTTTAAATTCAATTCACTGATATAGTTTCATTTCTAAATTTATTTTTATTCTATATTTAATTTACTGAAAAGTTTTATTTCAGAGTTATTTCAAGAGAACAAGTCTGAAGTCATTCTTCAGCTCACCCGAACTTTGAAGTTTGTTTTTTCAGACATAGCTCACCCGAACTCTGGAGTCTGAACTCTGAAGTCTTCTTTTTCAGACTTAGAAGTCTACTCTGAAGTCTTCTACAATTCTGAAGAATACAAGTCTAAAGAGTCATTTTTCAAAGTTAGCTCACCTGAATTCTAAAGTCTTTTTTTTTTCCAGACTTAGCTCACCTGAACTTTGAAGTCTGAACTTCGAAGTCTTTTTTTCCCTAGACTTTGAAGTCTGAACTCTGATTTAATGGGATTGATTTTATACTTCAGACTTATTTCAAGAGTACAAGTCTGAAAAGTCATTTTTAAAAGTTTTACTTCAAAGTTATTTTCAGAGTACAAGTCTGAAAAGTCATTCTTCAAAGTTAGCTCACCCGAACTCTGAAATCTTATTTTCCAAACGGAGCACCATGCAAAGCCTTTGCATAGTGCATGCAGAGCTTTTGGCTTGCTTATACAGAGCTCAGAAGTCTGAAGAGTTTTACTTCAAAGTTATTTTCAGAGTACAAGTCTGAAAAATTATTTTTCAGAGTTAGCTCATCCGAACTCTAAAGTCTTATTTTCCAGACGGAGCACCATGTAGAGCACCATGCAAAGCCTTTGCCTAGTGCATGCAGAGCCTCTGCATAGTGCATGCAGAGATTCTGGTTTGCTTATACAGAGCTCTGAAGTCTGAAGAATTTTTCTTCAGAATTATTTCAAAAGTATAAGTCTGAAGTCATTTTTTTAGAGTTATAGTTCAGAGTTATTTAAAAAATACAAGTCTAAATAATCATTCTAAATTTACTTCTAAGTTTAAATTCAATTTACGATATAGTTTCATTTTTAAATTAATTTTATTGTAGGGTTAATTTCATTTTAACTAATTATTAATATAGTTTTATTTCCAAATTCAAATCTAAAGAGTCATTTTTCAGAGTTATACTTTATAATTATTTCAAGAGTACAAGTCTGAAGTAATATCATACTTTCGATGATAATTCAAATTACCCTGTATGATACACGAAATCAAACCTAATATATATATATATATATATATATATATATAGATTCAAGAAGCTACCACTCTTAATCCATGTTTGATGTCCATAAAGTTACTTATTTTTGGTGGAAAAGCTCACTTTGGTAAATAATAAGCTAGCTACATCACATATTTATTGGTTTTTTATTTTTTATTTTTTCTACCAATTATGATATTTGTATTCTACATAAAATATTATTATATATTTTTAGATTATTTTACATTATGATATAACTTACCATATAATTCTTTTAATTAAACATAATCAATTCATCAATTGATTTATTTAATAACAATCAGCTTTTAAGGCAACGACTATTTTTAAATATTTTGAAAACAACCCCCAACTTGTAAAAAATAATTAATGGAAGACATTTTTATATTATAATTAATATTGAAAATTTCAAAATGATTATTTTTAAATTTTTTGACTTTTCCTTCTTCATTCAAAAATAAATTATAGAAAAATGTCAATACACAATAATTTATCTATAATCTATACTATATTATCAAATATTTGATAAAAACTCTTAAAAATCATTTTTTATGCATAAAGTACTGATTATTAATGCATATTACTTAAAATTCAAGATCACAAGTAAATTGTGTATAAATATAACTTATTAAAACTCTATGTTTGAATTTGTATAAATAACTGCGAATAAACATAATCAAATAGAAGATAAATATCTCATTTTAAAATATAATTAGAATAATTACTGAGTTCTAACAGAATACTTAATTATTATCTTTATAAAAAAATATATTATTAAACTTAAATTAAGTTACTTCATTACGTTAAATTAAATTATAATAAAAATTTTGAATTAAAAAAAAATACACAAACAATAACTTTTAAATAGTTAAGTTGATATTAATATTGATATAACTTTTGCAAATTTTATATGATATTTTCAAATTTATATTTTATTCAAAAATAGGAACATTATCGTTTTTCCAAAACCATATAAAATCGTATTATATCGACATGAATAAGAAAATAAAACGAAACAATGAAATGGAAATGTGTCTCGATGCATTGCACGAGTACCCTTCTAGTATATTTATAAAACATTTGACAAAAATTCTTAAAAATAATTTTTTATGCATGCAGTAATGTTTATTGATGCATATTACTTCAAATTTATGACTACAAGTAATTTTACGTAATTACAACTTATTAAAACTCTATTTTTAAATTCGTGTAACTAACTGTTGATAAACATAAGCATATATAGAATAAACATCCTTTTTAAATATGAAAAATAAAAAATATAATTAAGATAATTATTGAGTTCTAACAGAATGTTTAATTATTATCGTTATAAAAAATTATATTATTAAACCAACTATAAATTACTTTGTTATTAAATCTAAATTAAATTATAATAACAAATTGAAATAAAGAAGTTATATAAAAAAAAGAGAATTATTAAATAGTTAATTTGATAATATTATCGATTTAATTTTTTTACAAAATTTTATGCTATCTTCAAATTTATATTTTAATTCAAAAATAAAAACATTACCGTTTTCTCAAAACCATATAAAATCATATTATATCGATAGAGACAAAGAATAAAAACTAAATATTAAAATCGAGATTTATCTTACTGCACTGTACGAATACCTTTATAGTAACTAATAATTCATACATTTGAATTATTTTTTTACCTAATTAGTATAAATGTATAAATACTTTGATTAAAAAAATTATTAGTGGCACACGTGTGGAGTAGAAGATGAACAGCAACATATATTATTGATTTTCTTAATAATATATTTCTTCGTTATGGATTATACAACTGTTGTTACTGGTGGGGTCCACTCAATACCTTTCTTCTCCTTGTCCGCCTTTCTTCCTTCTCCTTTTCTCATCTCTCAACAAATTTTGAGCTAAGAAGTAATCCATCGATCAAGGGGTATTTTGTTTGATTTCATCTGCTCTGCTTGGGATTCACAAACAGGAGAGGTTGCTTTCTCATCATTTCCAGTTTGATTTTGTTTCAATTTCGTTGTGTGGTAAGTAAAAATCAAATTTGTTAGATTTTGTTTCAACTTCATTGGGATAATTTCCCACAAGTTTTCTTTTCAATTTCGACGTTTGGGACGAATTTTTTTGATCGATTTACCAACAAGTCAACAGATCAACTGATCTACCACTTTGTCTCGGTTAATCAGCTTTAATTCTCTATGGTATTGATTATTTTGGTTCATCAGATTTGGGTAAGTGTCGGTTCTTGGTAATTTTTCTTTCCTATGGAGAGATTTTATTAACCCTCTACATGTTTCTTTCGTTTTTTGACAACTCTTTTATAGCTCTATGTTGATGCTACTAAATGTTTGATCATAATTAGATGTTGTCAGTTTGAATATAAAACTGCTCCCAACGATTTGTGTATAGTAAGATATTGATTATTGCTATTCAAATTTGCGGGATTTTTTTGACAATATATACTATTTGTTTTTCAACTTATGGAGCTTCTAGTTACAGCTAGATAAATTCGAGTTTAAGCCTTCATCTTTTTGTAATTAGCAGTATATGTAAGGGGTTTTTTGGACTCTCTATTCTAAGAGGACTGCATAGTTATTATCCAAGAAACTTGATAATTTTTCATCACTTTTTAGGAAGATATGGGTCTAAACTATATTTAGTATCTGCTTGATTACTAAACTGAAATGCATGAATCTTGTAGCCTGAAAAAGTTGAGAAACGGATTAATTGGAGTTCTTTTCGATTTGTAAAAGGAAGCTTAAGCTTTTGATATCTAAATTTGTGGTAAGCTAGAACATCTATCATTTGTAATAGTAATGTCTATGTTGCAGTATCTTAATTTGTGAAGAGCCACTTCTGATGCCAACTTTCTGGAGTACGGGAAGTGTTAGAGAATATGACGCATTATAATTCTATTTCTCCACCAGCATCAATTAGTCTGGCTGTGTCTATGGCAAAGAGTGAAGGTACTATTTTTCGCTACAGTAAGGTTTTATATTTCCTGACATGTTTTGATTTTTTGAATACACACTTCTTAAATGAAGAAAATGATAGTTCTTGAAGATGTTCTGCTTGATCTTATTTTTTCATTCTATAATATTAGATTGGAAAATGATATAATTATTATATCTCAGATGATCATCATGACGATGCTCCCCTGAACTCGAGGTAATTCGAGAACCGACCCCCAACTTCTTCTTAGCCCATGTTTCTTTTCAATCAAGAATAAAATTATTGGATATTGGTGTGGCCTTGTATATGATTCTTTAACCACTTTCGCTATTGCCTTCCTTAGGTCCCTTGAAAAAGAAGCAACTATTGAAACTTTTAGAAGTCACAGAAATGGAAGTATTGGATTAGATGTGGTGGAGAATAACCTTATGGAAATCAATAATATCAAAAACAGATTTGCTGAAGAAGAACCGGAACCTGTAAAAACTGTAAAATATGAAACAGAGACATACTATCCTTCTATCGATGATTTCCAAATCTGGCTTCCCCCTGAAGCAGATGACCAGGAGGATGATGTTGAGGGTAGTGTGGTTAATTATGAGGACGATGACGACGACGACGAAGAGGAGTTTGGCGACGGTATGAAATGGGGAAAGCCAAGTAATCTAAGTAGCTTTCGTCAAGAAGGGAGTGGGAGCATTAGGTTTAGAGAGGAAAAAAGAAGAGCAATGGATGAGGTTATGAGTGGAAAGTTTAAGGTTCTTGTGGAACATCTTCTTAACTCAATGGGTATATCTTGCTCGAGAAATGATGGTGATACTTGGGTGGATACAGTTACATCTTTGTCATGGGAAGCTGCTTCATTTATGAAGCCAGATGCTTTTGAAGGGAAAGCCATGGATCCTGATGGATATGTGAAGGTCAAATGTATTGCTACCGGTTCTCGAAGCCAAAGGTTGTGTCTTATCAATGTATTAATTCATTCCCTTAACTTTCACCATATATCTACTCCTTATATATTCTGTGTTGATAAAATTTTGTTATGTTTTTCTTGTAGTTCCTTAGATTATATGAATTTAATTATGGTTGAATTAACTTGCATAAGGTTATTTTCTTGTAGCCTTCACCTATTGCCAACTACAATTCCTTCATTTATTTGTTACATTATGGCTTTGGACCAAGATCTTGCCGCCACTTGTGACAATATGTTTTTGTTGGAAACATCTAAGGCATTATACGAACACAATCGACCCTAGCTGAAGCATTTCTCTGAATCATTATAAATTTAGTTTCCATCTAGGTTGGTTCATACAATGTTTGATTCATTGCAAGGTGTTGTATAGGTTTTACTGTTATATGGTCCTTACGCTACTTAGTTTTTACTTGTTCCTCATGGTATTAATGGTGAAATATCCCGTTGTGTCTTGTTATGTTCATGATTATCATTTTGGCTCATTAACTTTATCTGAGAGCTACCAACTCGTATATGTAAGCTATTGTAGGGCACAAAAAGGGGTATTAATGTTGCAACTTGCAATCCTAGTTACCAATGTCCGATGTCCAAGAGTAGGTCATAGACTTGTGTTACATTATTCTCTACCACCAGAAAGCTAGCCTGTCCACTGAAGTAGGAAATAGATTGCTGTAGGAATGGAGACCTTTCTATAGAGCGGAGGCGTACTAATCAAATTGATCAGCCTGGGGGAGAATGATGATGGACCGCTTTAGTAAATCAATAAAACACCTAGGATTCCCTATATTTCACCATGTTGTTTATACTCATTCATTCCCTTGTCATTTTGCCTTCATTTGTGTTTTGGAAGGTTACTTGTGCTACCAAACATGCATGTGCAGCTATGGTTCATCTGAGCTAGAATAAGGATGTACAATATAAATATCTACTTTTGGTTAGAGTAACACATGGCATCTTGTTGATTTTTCTCTTCACGGGAATGTTTGAAACTTTATTGCTAGGGTGACACTTCAAGGTTGCGCTAGGTTGAAACTTTATTGCTAAAGGGACACTTCAAGCTTGTGCTTTAGTATTGGAATATATTGAAGCTAAGGCTTAGATGGTTATCTGGCTTAACCCAATGTAAGATAAGTGGTTAAAAGATACTGAGACAAATTACAAGTGCCAAGTGTTGAATGCTTACAACATCAATTTCATTGAAAATTTAGCAAAACTATTATGATTTCCCAAAAAAAATTGATTTCCTTGAAATTGAGTGAAATGTTTAGTAGCCAAAAGATAGTCAAATTAATACACTCTCAACTTCAGCATGATGGTTGATACAATAGTTAGGTGGATGATATTTGGTTTGATGGGGAGTTATTGCTACAATGATGTTACTTTGCATATCCTTGGGCACTATATTTCTCAATGACAAACTAAACATTTTGAGGTTGATTGCCATTTTCTTTGCGAGTGTGTGCTTCATAATTTCCACTATCTCTTACTATTGGAGTGAACTTAGGTGCATTTTAGAGATGAGGTTATAAATATCGTGACAACTCTTCATATGATTCAAATTGTAGTTGCTAGCTGGGTATGTTTGATATTTCCTGTTCCATATATATATATATACACACACACATACATACATATATATATATATACACATAAATATATAGGGTTGGTTTATGGTGAGAAGGGAAGTTGTGGTGAGAAGCGTAAGAAGAGCCCTTCACCTTTGGATCAATCCTAATTGAATCTCAACACTAATGAGGTGCACCGAGATGCACCGAATCAATTCCCTTCTAAAGCAGAAGTCATGGGTGGACATGAGATTAAAAGTAATCAAGGATTCTAATTCTTCTTACATACATACACACATACATATATGTGTGTGTATGTATATAGGTGTAGATTCAAATGAGAATGTCAAAAAGGATGAGAATATGAGAGAGTAAAAACCAGATGAAAAGTATAATAATATGGATGTCAAATTAAAGAGAATAAAATGCTTGTTTTTTTGGTATAATTAGTTTGGCTCCGATTTTCTTTATATTTTGTTAATTTTAGATTAAAAATAGGGGGCAGGGGATATTTTTTATTTAAAAAAATGGTGGTTGTAACCACCTTTTAATCACATATGTTGGATTTTCTCATCTTCCAGATGAGATCTATTCTTACCTTCTCAACCTTTTTGTCATTTTCATTTGAACTTCCTATATATGCTTAAGATTTATGTGTGCTTTTGAACGTTAAGTATTTTAGCCATTTGGCTCGTTAGTTACTCTATATATGGTGTTCTTTTTTCAGTACTTATTGACCTACTGTTCTACTTCATTATCAATCTTATTACTTGTATATCAATAAACGCAGTGATAATTTTTTGTGCCTATGCCCCCATGGATGGCTCTTAATGTTGGAGAAAAATATTTTAATTTTTCGAATCTTTTATATATGTGTGCATTGCTAGGTATAAACTTGTTTAGTCACTTGATGTAGAATGCTAAGTTATTCTCTGAAAATAGGAAGCCTCTTGATGCTCTAGGAGAGGAAACTCAGTTACCTGATAGTTACTTGTCCAAACATTCTCCTTGTAGTTAGTCTATTTGTGTCTGCTTTCACAATGTTCATTCATATGTTCTTTTTATGTTAAGATAGCTCAAGTGTGTTTAAGGGAGAGGTATATGTTATACGAATCAAGGAGATGAAGGACCTGATGTGATGGAGATTTTTCAGGTTCTTTCTATGCTCCTGCCTACTGTTGGTGGGTCCACTACTGGTAAGTAGTAACTAGTAAGTTTGCTGCATGGAAGAGTAGAAAAGAGTAGTAATTTCTCACTCTAGTGCAGTGCCATAGTATTAAGCTCTCGCACACGTTTCATATGTGAAGCCACCACCTATGTGGGTTGGGAGTTCTTCCGGAGAGATTGATGCTTTTGCACCGAGAATAACAGATATTTGCATCACGAATAACTTGATATTTAACGTGTGTACCAAGCATACAAAGGTGACTCTTGGCGCTTGCTTGTATTGTAGGGACTGATAAAGAGCACTCTTCCATTCAGCCTGTTCACAGTCTGGGCAAGTACCAGCTTCTTGTCACCTAGGCGAATGTTCTATGGGAGATGCTGATTGATTTTATATGTTGCAAGTTGGCATAATTAACGTCTATGCTTCAACTTGAGGAAATGTTTTAGATGTAATAATATCTTTATCAGGGTTTATGATGGATATGAATGTTGAACTTCTACCTGTACGTTACATAATTTCCAGTTTATCAAACAGCACGTTGCTACAGCAGTTATAGTATCTTGCTATAGCAGTTATAGTATCTTGCTACAGCAGTAATAGTATCGATGTTGAAATACAAAACTTTGTACTTGGTGCTGCAAATAATGCAGTGGAGATTAAGAACAAGTAGAAGAAATAGAGCATAGGTTAGAAAGAAATATAGAATTGCTTTGAAATTTTAGTTTTCTTTTCCACCACAAGGAAGCTCATGCATACTGCAACTTGTGCTATTGCTAGTCTTCATTTGGTTATTACAGTAGATTTATATCTTCTTACATTTATCAATCTAGAAACCAGTTTATCTTATATGCTACCTAGAGAATTCTTCTACAAAAAAGCTTGGTGTATTCGTACCGAAGTTTTACATACCATACCAATCTCACATGCTTCCAAATAATAATTTATATGAAACAATTTTTCCTTCATTTCATCATGCTAATAATTTTGTTGTTACAGTGAAGTGTTCAAGGGCTTGGTCTTCAAAAAGCATGCTGCTCATAAGCACATGCCAACAAGGTTCAAAAGACCAAAACTATTGTTGATCAAGGGTGCACTAAGCGGTTCTGATGGATTTTCATCATTTGAGTCAATGAAGCAGGTAATCCAAAGAAACTGTTTTGCTCTATTGTTTATTGGCTGTATCATCTGCTCTAAATACTTTGCATGACCAGGAGAAGAACAGACTTGACACTGTTATTGGGATGATAGAGAAATGCAACCCAAATGTTGTTTTAGTGGAAAAAACTGTTTCTCGTGATATTCAGGAGTTTATTCTTGCAAAAGGGATGACACTAGTCTTGGAAATGAAAATGCACCGCTTAGAGAGAGTTGCTCGTTGTACCGGTTCACCAATCTTGTCCTCTGATAAATTAAGTGATGAAAAGCTAAGGCAATGTGATTCATTCTATTTTGAAAAAATTATAGAAGAACATGCTGCTGTTTGTGAAAGTGGAAAGAGGCCACGGAAGACTTTAATGTTTCTCGAGGGATGTCCTAAACGTATGGGTTGTACGGTGAGTTTCATTATTTGTTTATATTGTATTTTGGAGGTCAAAACATCTGAAACTGTGATTGTGAAATTTATTAGTTCACCAAGGGTATGTCCATGATAATCCTTTGTCAAGTATATCCTTGATGGTACTGCTGTGATTTTGACATTTAGTAGCTTCTGATAATGCTTTTGTGTGTTGTGCTGTGAGTGGAGTAATTATGGAGCTACTTACTGATTATTGTGGTATTATGTTGTCTCTGCGGTGGCTTGGTTTGTGTCCTTTCTGTGTATTATCGGTTTGCTGAGCTTCTGAATGCTGTGGGGTGCATTGTTTTAAATACTGACTGAGGCATGCGCCTTGAGGCGAGGCAGCCAAAATCCATTTTTGTGGTGTTGCCTCTTATGGCTTTGATGACTCGTACGCCTTGACGGGTGAGCAGACAGCGAGTGGGGTAGAGGCAGTGGTGTTGCTGCTTTAGTGATGGATGTATATATAACATTTTAAATACAATAGAAGATAAAATGAGAAAGTATTTACCGAAAGAATCAAAGCACTAAATTGATTCCTTTCCTTTCACCAAGAAACTTGACTCCCTGTTCTTTGGGAAGCCATTGCTTCCTTTTAACTAATGAACTAGTTTTCTACATAGATTATAGAAGATTTTGCATGTGCAGAGTGTACAACACCTTCTTTTCAGGTTTTGCTGATGGACGTTTTGGAATTTCAACAACTGACTGATAAACTGGAATTCCCTGCTTTTTCCAGCATGAACTTCTTTTGCTGCTGGACTTTCTTGGATTTCATTTAAATGATTCATGAATTGGAATTACCTGCTTTTCGGACAATGTCCTTACTGTGAAGGTGAAACCGTGTGTGTCTGTTGAAAGGAAGGGCGGAGGGTTTAATAAATTGAGCTAAACGTTTAATTCCCTTTCCAGAAACATGTCTGTGATTGTGGTTCGAGCTGGAATACATGTATAGCGGTCAAGTGTAAAGATATGAAACCATAAGATTTTATCTTGGGCCTAACATTGCCCACTAAGGTGCACTACTTCCACTACCCAGCAGTGGTTGCCCAGTGCCAGCTACCATGGTTTTATAAAGTACTAACAAAGCATGTGGCTAGAAAGCCTAGAATCACCAAACCTCTATACAAAGCTTTGCAAGTTTATTATACATGCACAGATTAACTTATTATTGTATCTGTAGTCTTTAGTTTTGACCTTACTACATAAAAGAAATGCTCTTTAGTTTATGGTTTAATTTTGTCTACCTTACTTTATATTGTTTTTTGTTGTAATTTTTCTTGATGAATTTTTGTTACCTACTGTCCTTGGACAGATGCTCGTAATCTATTTTGGTTAAGGTTAGTTCTATCAAAATTCGGGATTGACATACTGATTTACCATTGTGATGCCGTGCAGATATTGCTGAAGGGATCTCACAGTGATGAACTTAAAAAAATTAAAAGTGTTGTTCAATTTGCGGTTGTTATGGCATTTCATTTGATCCTTGAGAGTTCGTTTCTTCTAAATCAGAGGGCAATGTTTTCCACCATTTCTCCCATTGGCGTAGCTATGTTTTCTACCAATACCCCTATTGAAGAGATTATACCATCAATCAGCAATCAACCTCTTGATTTAGGATTTAATGATTCAAATATACCTGTTGCCAAGGAGTCTAATGCTGGAACTGATTCAGTCAATGCAATGGATGTCCCTATCTCCACTGAATTTCAGGAGAAAGGATCTGAAAGTGCAGAACTAGAAGGGGATACTTTATTGTCATACGAGCCATACAACCCAGTTTTCCTTTCCGGGTTATCATCTCTCTCAGCTTCGTTAAAGAAAGTAGTTGGGTTTCCTCTATTCAATCCTAATCAGAGTATGTCCACATACTTGGGCTCTAATGGTGTGAACTCCCCTGATCAGACCGGAACTTCTGTTCAAGTATTGAGCTCTCTTGAGGCTGTTGACACCGCTGATGTGGGTGCGAAAGTTAGTTCTGATGAAGATAAGATCCTTGACAATGATCAATTGCATTTTTCATTAACATCTAGCAAGGATTCTTCGGAGACAAAAGGTTCTGATGAGCAGATGCAGAACAAGGATGATATCAGCACAGTGTTGGAATCTGAAAGTATTTTGGTTTTGATGTCCAAACGAAATGCCACAAGAGGGATCATCTGTGAGCATAATCGTTTTTCGTGTATCAAGTTCTACCGAAATTTTGACGTCCCCCTTGGAAAGTTTTTGCGGGATAACTTACTCGATCAGGTTTCCTGAAAGCCTCATTTATTTCTTCTTGTTTTGGTTCTTGAGCTTCATGTTTTCATGGATAAAATGTTTTGATATTTTCCCGTTCATTTGTTAGATATTATCACCCAAAGTACGTTTGTTACTTTAGTCACTTTGTTAACATAAATGCATGTCAAAGCAGTATGATCGAGTAAAATCTGATATCCCCCTTATAGGATATTTCGGCTGAATAGTTTACTCATGCAGGCCCCTTGAATTCTGTTCATGTCTTATTTATTATTCAATAACAGAGTTTTTCAGATAGTGCATAAAAATTTGGGAGATAGCATCTATTATTAGTGACTTCATAGGTATTGCATTAAGCATTAATGGTACTTTTTATCATTTAGTTCCTAGACATCTTACATGAAATGAAAGAAGATTCAGTTCTTTGTCGTAGAAGGATCTCATTGATATGTATTAAACGAAACTTCAGTTATCTTTTAGTGTTCTATTGTTGAACTTGAACTATTTTAAGCATTATTTTTTATTTAGCAATCTCAGTTATTTATCTGAAACTATGCAGAAGATCTTATGTAGAACTTGTGATGAACCACCCGAAGCTCATTCTTACTACTATGCACATCATGATATGCAACTCACAATTCAAGTCAGACGTCTTCCTATGGATAAGCACTTGCCTGGTGAAAATGAAGGGAAGCTTTGGATGTGGAGTAGTTGTGGGAAATGTAAACCCTGCAATGGAAGCTTAAAGTCTACCAAAAGAGTTTTAGTTTCTACTGCTGCACGGAGTTTGTCTTTTGGGAAGTTTTTGGAGCTGGGTTTTTCAAACCACTCATGTGATATACCATCTAGCTGTGGACATTTCTTTCATAGGGATTATTTTCACTTCTTTGGGTATGCTCACCTAAAGAAGATATGAACTGTTTAAAACTTTATGAACTCGTCTCCTTTTCCACTAAAGTTTTGTGTGCGAGGAATTCTACCAGGAAATTTGCTGCATTCTTTTTGCATGTGTGTAGGGGGGAGGAACATATTATATTTATTGAACTTCTCAGTCAATAGCTCAATTATTTTAAGAAATACCAAAACTCATCCTTCATGCACCTTCATTCAGAGGCACCTTATTACTTGTGTGCTCATTTTTGGTTTGCATGCCTTTGTGGTAAAGGTTGCGATAAGAGAATAATTTAGCATGGGGTATTTGGAGGGGGAGGTAGGAACACCTATACAAATAATGTGTCTGCATATGACTGAATAATGTAGGTGCTAGTATCTTAAGCTTAACATAGTATCTTAAGCTTAACATGCTGCCTCAATTGACGTGCATCAATATGTCATACACTATAGGTAGAGAGAAGAGATTACGTTCCTAAGGGGCTATTATTAAAGTTGTGCTGTTTTTATAAGATGGTGCAGTTTAAATTATCAACTTGCATAAGTGGAAGTTATCCTAGATAATAATTCGTCTTCTGCGATTTGCAGATTAGGCTCCATGGTTGCAATGTTTAGATACTCTCTAGTAGCTACTTACTCTGTGTCTCTGCCACATTGGAAGGTGGAGTTCAGCAATTCAATTGGAGGAAAATTTCTGAAAAAAGAAGTTGAAGATGTAGGTCCTTTTATCCATAGTGTTGCATTGCTTACCGCTTGTAGTTTTTTAGCTATATTACTTTATTTGCTGAAGGATTTAACTAATTCATGGTATTAAGGTGTACGAGGAAGGGCTTTCGATGTTTGCTGAGGTTGAAAGATCTTTGAGAAAGATGGAATTTGAGTTTGTGGGATCAATGTTGAACCTTCAAGGATCATTGAAGAAATTCTCTGATATTCAGGAGATGCTGAACCGAGAACGTGATCAGTTTGAGGTGGGTTACTTTTTCATTGCTTGTTTCTGGAATTTCACTCATTTATATATTGGGACAAAGGACAACTCTGCCTGAGATGACGAGGTTCCATTACCTATCTTATATGATTTACTCATTATATATTTCCTCTTTTGCTTCTATCGCATAACACATCATAGAACTCTTTCACATTACATTTTCCATGAGTTCTGCTTTAGATATGCTCCCCTATATATAGGAATGGCTGATTTCAATGTAACTATTGTATATTGTTCTTGGTTTCCTTTTAAGAAAAATACAAAACAAATTGTATACTAATGATTCTTTAGTGTGCTTACACTTGTGGTTTAATAAGCTGTTGTTGACCTGTTTTATGATATTGAGACTCCACCCTTTGGCCCAAGAATGCCTTTTGCTTTATTATGTGGTGTTTTAAGCTTTTACGCTGAAAAGTGAAACCACATGAAAGGAACAATCAAAAGAGAAGTAAATAACCAATGAAGAGGTAGGTTTGATGTTAGGTGATCGACTGCAACTTTAAACGTACCTTAAAATCATTACTTTGTTTGAGTGCTACTTTTTGTTATTGATAAGAAGTTGCCTGGCATTTGTTCAATTTGCCGTGCTATTATCTGAATCTAGTGGTGTAGGAGAGGTTGCTCTAAGAATTCAGAATCGAATCAATTGACATGTCAAATGCGTTCTTATCTTTTTTTTTTCTTGTCATATTTTCATAAGAGGAAATGGTGAAAAGACCATGGAACTTTGACCCGTATGGAATAAACCAAACAATCGAAGGTGGGGTATGGGAGGGTTAGATGTCTATCGACCTAACTTCTACCTAAAATAGTAGAGTAGCTGGTTCCATGAAGACCCTTGACTTGTGAAAGTGTGACAAAGAGAGATGGTCAAATAAGATAAAGTTTTGCAAAGCAGGTTAAGAGTAAGCAGTAACATACAAAAGAAGTCTAACTTACTAATCTTATCACTCTCCCTCTACCTCTCCGGCTACCTTAACAACTCCCAACCTCCCGACTACTCTAGCTACATATCCCCGATCCTAGCCTGCTACCCTAGTCTTGCATCTCGAAAAGCTCCTAATAGAGGTCATGTCCTTAGAAATGCCTAACAGTGTCATATCTGACCTCAATTGCTCATCTTGTGTCCTCGGCTGACCCCTCCTCTCCCGCTCGACCATCACATTTTTTTATCTTCCTTACTGGAGTCACTATCTATCCCTATGCACATGGTGAACATACCACAATCTTTTCTCCCACAACTTATCAGTTCGGTATCTTGTCAAACATGGTTCTACCACATGTCCATCTAAGCATCCTCATTTTTGCAACTACCAATTTCCTCTCATGGGCCTTTGTTATTGGCCAAAACTCCAACCCATACAACATAGATGGCCTGATAGCTACCCTAGAAAATTTGCCTTTCAGTTTTAGCAGAACCTTCTTGTCACAACTCCTCATGGCAACTCTCTACTTTAGCCACCCTACCCTTATGCAAAGTGTTATGTCATCCTCGACGTTACCCTCCCTCTGAATCATGGAATCTAGATATACCACTTGCTCTTCAATGTTGACTTCGAGCCCTTCCTCGGTACACTCCATGTTGAATTTGCATCATACATATTATGTTTTCGAACGACTAATATGCAACCCTATGTTTCAAATGACTTTCTCTATTGCTCCAGCCTCCAGTTCACTTCCACCTTCGACTGCAAAACCAACATAATGTCATCCACGAATAACATACACCAAGGAATTCTCCCTTGGATCCCAATGGGAAATCTCATTCATGATTACAGCAAACATAATTGGACTCGGTGTCGGTCCGTGGTGTAATTCTATCTCCACTGGGAAATACTCGGTCTCACCCACTGGGGTTCTAACACAAGTTTTTATTCTTTTGTACATATTCTAAATCGCCTTGGAATATCTCCATTGCGTCCCCTTTTTCTCCAGGCTGCTCCAAATCACTTCTCATGGAATGCTATCATATGCCTTCTTTGGATCGATGAACACCATGTATAAATAACCTACTACGCTCTCTATACTTCTCTGTGAGTCGTCTAAGAAGGTGATTGTCTCAATTGTTGGCCGTCGTGGCATGAAGCCAAATTGGTTATTCATTACTTTTATCTTGCATTTTGCCCTGCCCTCAATCACTTGCTTTCATAATTTCATGGTGTAGTCAAGTAACTCTAGATCACAATATTTTTTGAACACCACCTTTGTTCTTATAGTGACAACACCACACTGAGCCTTGACTTTTTAGGCATCTTGGTAGTCCTGAATCTGACGTTAAATAGCTTTGTCAACCACTGCGACCCTCCTGCCCCAGACACAACCACGCCTAAATAAGGATCCGATGCAGGCCTAAGGTTTTACCCTTCGCCATCTTCCTTCTAGCCCCCCTTCTCATCCTTTATTCTAATTTGGTCACAAAGATAAAGATTCCTCGACCTCTGACATCATCCTACCTTTTCTCCCTCTCTTTTTCTAGGCTCGTTAAATAGCTTATTGAAGTACTTACCCCATCTTCTCTTAATGTCCTCACCCTTTACTAAGACCTGTATGTTTTCATCCTTAATACACCTTACATTTCCTAAGTCTCGACGCCTCTGCTCCTTGGGTTTGCAAGCTTGCATTATTTTAATCCCTCTCTCTCCTTAGTATCTAACCGAGTAACCTCTTGTGCATGTCCTCATTAGCCTTTATCCATAACCACTCTTTTTTTGCCTCTTGCTTTGCTTCTTTATACACTTCCTTTAGCCTACTTTAGTCACACGCCATGAGCTTCTTAAAACGAGTTTGTTTCACCTTAACCTTTGCTTGGAGTTCTTCGTTCCGCCACCAAGAGTACTTATGGTCCCTAGTCTTCCATGATGAAATTTCCAACGGTGGGGGCTACTCTACTCCATATTTGCTTTGGCGTCATGCCCCGACTAATTTTCTAACTCCTAGACTACCCTTTCTTTGAAAACCTCTACCTTGCCCTTCTAATTAAAGGATCCTTGTTTTAGGCTTTGTGCTATCTATTGCACCTTGCCTCATGTGCAAGTTCATTACCAACAATTTATGTTGCAACGCGCACGTCTATCCTAGAAACATCTTGCAATTTTTGCATGCTCTGGGTCCCAACTATGAATAAGGAGATAATCAGTTTGGGTACTATTACTCCTAAATGTAATGAAGTACCCTTATGCTGTCTAAAGCACTAATCAGACAAGTAGGTCATGTGCGTTATAGACATCTAGGCCGCTATGACCACCTTTATCTATGCGCCTAGGTACCCATCTGTCGCCTCCCCATTTTGGTCAGTCGCCCCTATAAATAAGTGTTGATCTCCCAACAAGTCTCTACCAACTCATCTAGACAATAAAGAAAGGCTTATTTCCATCTCCTCCAACCATGCTTGAGGTGTATAAGTGCAAACGGCCTTAACTATTTCCACTCTATCACTAATCGAGGCGCCATGATCCTATCACTACACCGGTTCACCTTCACATCGTTATCCTTGAGACCCCCAACTAACATTATTCCTACGCCATTTCTTGCGCTAACTAGTCTTGAATATTGAATACCACTTGTACCCATTCTCTCCCGAGTCCTCTCCCTTTTCCACTTAGTCTCTTGAACACATGTCACGGTCACATCCTGTTTCTTTAGCACATCCACTAATTCTTAAAACTTGTCACTCATAGTGCCGTCATTAAAGCTACCCATACGAACCTTAGGTTAGCGACCCTCCTTTCTTCTTGCCCCACTCCCCCCTTGAACCCTGAACAAGACATGACCTTAAAAACACCTTTCTCGCCCCTACAATCTATTTGAAATAATCCACAACACAACAAACAAAAAGCAAAGTTAAAGCAATTTCACAACAGTTTGCCAAAATGAGGACAATAAAGGCAAACTAAAACAATATGCTACAATGAAAACTAGAGGCAAGCGAATGAATAAAAAAATAATTTAATTACAAAATAAATAAATAGACAGGTGGCAGGGGAAGGGGCTAGGGATTGGTGGTTGGTGGCGGTGAACTGGAGGTGGTTGTGTTTGGTTGTGCATCTGTGGTTGCTATAGGGGAAAAGGCAGGGGGTAGGTGGTGGTGGTGTAGACGCAACGGAGGCGTGTGGATGGAGGTGGGTAGGTCATAGGTGGATAGTCATGATGTAGGTCAAACGGGAGAGGTGGGTTGCATTGCAGGAGTTTAGGTCTATGGGGAGAGGATGGTGGCTTTATGTCATAAAAGAGGAAGGCAAGAGGAAGGCAGAACAGGGGGCTCGAGGTGGATTTAGGTCGTCGAACGGAGAGAGAAGGGAGCTCGGAGAGTGGGGAAGCGGGGAGACATGAGAGAAGAGTTAGATATTTAGCTAGCGATGGCTGAGTTTTTGTTGGAAAAGTGGTTCTCATCGTCAAAGTTTGAGTCGTGTTTGGATATGTGACACAAAAGGCAACACATAAGGGATAGAGAGAGAGGCCTACTCCAGGGGGAGTAAAAAACTTCAAAGTGAGACTTAGAACTGAAATGATATGCTTGAATGTCCATGTTGGAAATGCCAAGTGTCATCATTTTCATGATGGAAAGTTTAAGAAAAATACAGATTATGGCTTGTAAAATTCAATGGTAAAAATTATATTTTCCAAACATGCTATTTTTTAACCTTCAGGCTTGTAAACTAAAGTTAGTCATGCTAATATTTGGATTTGAACTTGATTAAAATTTTCTAACATTCAAATTTGAATTGACTTTTATGAATGTTAAAAATCAATAACCAAATTTGAATTTTATGAAAAATGTTCAAAATTGAAAAATATGGGAACTTGACCAAGGCATTATGTCGAGGAAAAAATGTCTGAGTACCTTTACGTATTCGAATATGGATGAGTCTGAAAAATGTATTTTTCATGAATTAACAACTTGTAATTTATATTGTATTAAATATACATTACATAATATGTATATATACTAACAAATATATCATATATACATGCACACACACACATATATATGTGTGTGTATGCATGTTTTGAGGGTGGTGTGATGTGGATGTGATTGTCTATGTGTCGGTCTATGTTGTGCATGTTTGTGTTCACATATACATAATATTATGAAATATATGTATATAACATGTTCATACACATATAGGAAATGAATATATGTACGCATGAATATGTGTGGGTGCATATATAAATATATATCCTATATATCCACTCATGTGATACTTCATTATACCACATATATATGTGTGTATATATATATAAATCCATTTGTATAGATATCACCATCTACATCCAGAGAGTCGTATGCTTTGGAAGACGCTTGTACAGTTTGGGAAGGGGTTATGATATATGCACATTTACATACATATATACATATGCATATAACCAAACCAAAACCATCTTAACAAATCCGGTATATCTTGCTCAAAAGCGAGGTCTGGGAGAGGTGAGATGTACGCAGATCTAACATCTACTCCCATATATAGAGATACACCCACACATTATATATGTGCATATACATACATGCTTACACATATATGTATATAAATGTAGAAGTATAGGCTGTAATATCTAAATAGATAGACATATCAGGATTAATATCTAAAGAGGTTTCTTGTTTCATGGATTTTAAAGTTGGCATTACTTTGTATAAGTGTAGTATCTATGCCAGATCTTGACGTTAAAATACACATTAAAATTCGCCTCTCAATCTCACATGGTATCAGACCGGTAATCGGCTCTTCTCTTCCAACAAAAGACAGAGATGGACCTCTTCAATCTCTCAATTCGATAGAGCTAGCGACCGCCATATCGTCGTTGCCTTTCGGTTGCCTCTTGCATGAGGTGTACATCTACTATTATCTGCGTTTCTTGTCATTGGTGTATGGAATTGTATTCACCATAACTCTCAATGCATTAGTGATTTGTACTTGATGCTTTATGGATGTTGTACTCTTAAAAATAAGAGTTTTAACTAAATGCTTTATAAGATAATATAGATATACTCCATAAGATAAGCAAATTACAAACATCTTATCCATACACTTCAACGACCTACATTTGAAGGCTTATACTACAATGTGGGAACGAATGATGTATCCTCCCCTCCTTGGATGGTGTAGGAGTGTGGGGTGTGATATGTAAGTATGTTGAAGCAGGAAGATTGAAATGTAAAGTTCTCTAGTTTAATGGTTTGTAGTTAGATTACTTTGTATAAGTATAGCATCATGTAACCGATCGATCCTGACACAGAAATACACATGTACTCTCCTCACATTCTCACAATACATACAGACACATGTATTCTTATATATCATGTTCAATTGTTGCAATAATAGATTGTGACAGGACTTGTAACAAACTTATTGCAAACATCTGTTGGGTAAGTCCCAGATGATAACATACTGCACGTGTGACGACTAACCAATCAAACAAAAACAAGTACTAGATAGACACACTGTATATATACGCAGTTCGGTGAACGATGCTTACATTGTTGAGTAAGGCCCAGATGGTAACCAAGCCACTTATCCTGGAATATCTCTAGGAAGTTGTCTTTTGTTTTTAATCTCAATAGCTTTGGTTATATAGGTTTCTTCCCTCATATTCTGTCAAGACCTCCCATATGTTCATGGAGGATGACTTCCTCCCGAAGTCAAGTACACAACCTTTCCTGTGTTATGTGCGTCGTTGCAACAATATGTTGTAATAGTGATGCTTTCTGAATACAAATCCCCTTAGCAAAATAAGAGATTTCTTTTGCTAAGACTCTTATGATCTCTTATGGATGATCCTATCAATAATATTTGCTTTAGCTCTTCCATTATTTGTATTGCAGCCATCTTGATCCATTCCACATAATTTGCAGCTGATAACCTTATTAACATGAAGAGTCTTATCCTAAAAATCTAAATATTGGTTTTATCTAAAGTTCGAGCTTGGGTTATCACATTTTTATCTTCAAGTGATGAGTCTTCGATATAATAGAAAAACAATTCCAACTAATTACAAGTTGAAAAGCTTCTGCATTAACCATAAACACATGCATACATACACACATACTTATATATATACATATACATATACATATACATACATACGTATAAACATCTGCATACATATATATATACACACACATATCTATATTTAGACACATACACACATCTATATTAAGAAAAGTGTAAATTAGAACAATAATTATTTTGAGAATCTGTGAACCAACTATTTCATGTATTATTAATGATAAATAACCCTGTACAATCATGAATGTTATTCATCATGAATATCATGCATTTTCATTATTCATGATATTATGCATTTTCATCATGAATATCATGTATTTCTCATCATGAATATAGCATGAATAGGTTCTAGCCTTCTAGGTTCTCAAAATATTTATGTTTTCATTTGAACCTGCCCCTACACACACGCAGATCACATATATACTTATATATGATATTACTCAATTTTCACAAGCTGCTCAATTATTTTTCAACTTCTAAAAACTGAAATGGTTTCATGTAGATTTTTTTAACATCAAATAGATGATAATAGAATAGTTTCACATGTGGAAGGCTTTATTCTGATACTGGTCGTAGTTTATTTCTATACATTAAGCTGATAATTTCCATTTCTCCTACTTAATCGAAACTATAGGTTGACATGAAAAACACTGCTAATTATGGGAACACGGATGATGCTTCTAAGAATAATTGGGTGTACAAGCCTCTATGCTTAAATCATGTACAGTGGGAACTTCTGCTTGAATCATGTATCTGGGATCAGCGTCTGCATTCACTTTTGTCATCTGATCTTAGAGCGGTTAACCCTAAAAGCATCGAGGAGGATGACAGTTCTGGACATGGACCAGAAGGTGAAGTAGTAGTTGCTCAATGTGGTGAAGAAGATTCTGATGATATTGCAGAGCTGAAAAGCAATCTGGAGACACCAGAAGAAAGTGGTTCACTATTGAAAGAAATCTCTATTGAAGGTGAGGCATTGTCAAACCAGGATGTCTTTATTGAATCTGGCTCCTCAAATCATTCTGAGGTTGGTGAAGAAAATGGTCTAAACTATACTCGTGCTTTTTCTTCTCGAGTGGGAAAAAGTGGAAAAGCTTCTGTTTCCGAGGATGCTGCGAGAAACACTGTTTCTGATGTAAAGGGTAGATTTTCTTTTTCATTGTCGGCAAAATTAGAAGATCCTAAGGGATGGATGTGGACCCCTTTTCAGCAAATCCAAAGTGCTTATATGAATGATCTCCAGAGAGGTTACTTGCCAGAGTTTGAACCTATCAATAGCTATACTGCAGGATCCAGAATATATAAGATGATTACTGAAGAGGGATCAAGGCTTCATTTTCCACTGGATGCAGGCAATTATATGGTATCGGATTATGATGATGAGTTGTCTAGTATAATTGCTTGTGCTTTGGCTTTTCTCAAGGATCAAAATATTTCCCCTGAAGATCTTGATGAGGAGAAAAACTCATATGGCAGTTCACAGAAGATATCCTCTTTGCCTTCCTCAAATTGGTCTTCGTTCGGCTCTGTTGATGCTGATACTTCACTTGGCCTTCCATCGGAAGAATCACATTTTTTTAGCTTTGATGGGCTGGAATTGTTGGATTCTGTTGCTTCTTCAAGGTATCTTCACCCAGTAGTGTCTATGGGTAGGTTAGCTAGCAAGGCTAAATATTCGGTAGCTTGCCTATTTGCCAATGACTTTCTCCAACTTCGAAGTCAGTGTGGTTTATCTGAACTAGATTTTGTTGCTTCCCTAAGCCGCTGTAAACACTGGGATGCCAAAGGTGGAAAGAGTAAATCTTTCTTTGCTAAAACTCTTGATGACCGGTTCATTATAAAGGAAATTAAGAAGACCGAGTCTTATTCGTTCTTGGAATTTGCTTCGGATTATTTTGGGTACATGAATGAGTGTTTTAAACTGGGGAATCAGACCTGCCTTGCAAAAATTCTAGGGATTTATCAGGTTGGTTTTTCCCATGTGATGCCCTACAACCTTGGCATTTTTATGGTTTTCCTTCTCCTCATCAATATAAAATGGTTGCAGGTAAAAAAAAGGAAGAGTGGGGCGAAACATGATCTAATGGTGATGGAGAATATTACTTATCGTCGAAATGTAATAAGACAGTATGATCTGAAAGGAGCTCTACATGCACGTTTCAATTCTGCTGTTGATGGGGAAGGAGATGTTCTTTTGGACCAAAATTTTGTAAACGACATGAATGTTTCTCCTCTATATGTCAACAGGAAAGCAAAGCGAAACTTACAAAGGGCAGTGTGGAATGACACTGCGTTCCTGAATGTGAGTATTTTTTTTTTGTTTTTCTTACAAGTTCCGTGAGATAAGAAGTCGATGATAATGTGTTAATGTTTTCATAATGCAGTCGATCAATGTGATGGATTATTCGTTGTTGGTTGGAGTGGATGCTGAAGAAAGGGAGCTTGTATGTGGGATAATAGATTATGTGAGACAGTATACATGGGACAAGCAATTGGAGAATTGGGTGAAGTTGTTTGTGGTTCCTAAGAACCATTTGCCGACTGTAATCTCTCCAAAAGAGTACAAGAAGAGGTTCAGGAAGTTCATTGACACACACTTTTTGAGTGTGCCGGATGATTGGTGCTCTCAGAGGTCATCTAACCCTTGCAGCCTTTGTGGCAGTGCTTGTTCACATTCAAACTCCTCTTCTTCTTCTCATGGTTGATATATATATACATATATATATATATATATGTTGTACATACAAACAATATTATTGCATGATATGAGATGATCCCCCACCTATATTGCAATTTTTGAGCAAATGTTTGGGGATTTAGTGCTAAGCACCATGTTGTAGCTTCATAGGTGAATAATGCATATATAGATAGCATCACTATTTTGTTACTGTGAAGCAGCTGGTTTCTGTGTTTGTGTTGATTTGTAATGAATGAAACAAATATATATGCGGTCGGTCTTCATCTATAAGCTATTCGTTTAATCGTATTTGGATCAGATGTTGATCAGAATGCATCTTAGTCTTAGATGTAAAAGAAGGCCAAGGGACCAAAGACTTGTTTATTTAAGGATTGATCATCATTTGTTGTATAATAATATCTAATAGCAGTTTTGTAAGAAGATGGAGATCTCCGAAAGAGAGAAAGAAGATGCGTACCTGAGGCTGTGAGGATGATGGATTGGCAAATGCGAAAGTGAGAGAAGAAAGGAAATGGATGCATTTAATGCCAAAATTAGACTTTTTAAAACTCTGCATGTGAAGATAATCCCGTGAGCACATTACGGATCAACCCGCTGATTTATGGTTGAATGCCACAACTTGCGGGGCTTGGATGTACACACACACACTCTCTCTCTCTCTCTCTCTCTATATATATATAGACTTGGGATCACGTGAGACCAATAGTTTTTCGTGAGACCCGTAAGATCAATTCTCAACTCTTGGATTAGATTTACAATCGTCAGATCTGAACATTTATAAACGCAACGAGACTTCTCACTAATTACGAAATTGCCACCTTGCAACTTTGCAACCATTAGATCATTAATTTATAAATTTGATCAATGAACATAAATTGGTCTTACGGGTCTCACGCAAAACCCTTGGTCTCACGTAAACCCAACCCATATATATATATATATATATATATATATATATATAGAGGGTGGTTCAAATACTAACCCAATATTTTGTGCAAACTTTGCTAACCCACATCAACCAATAATGTTGCATCTTTGGGTTTGGTTAAAATGTAACTTACATATTAATGATAAGGGTATTTAGGTCATTAGTCATTCTTATGTAACTTCCAAATATTTTAATTGGGAGTTACAAATCCTACAATATCTCAAATTGATCTTCATCTAATAATGACATGAAGATTCAAATATGTTCATCTTATTGACAACTAATTCACATATGAAACCACCTACAACGAACATCATGCATGAACAGATATAAAGTACAGGTATCGGTTTTATCTGCACAACCCATGTTTTTGTTAATGTGCATGTCTCATCATCGTGCATGTGTATCACTACGAGCATGCATCAAGGTTGAAGAACATGATCATATGACCAACATATATCGATTATAGTGTTCATTAGGTTCACACGATGTAGCTAATGTTCATATATCTAGGGTTCACACGGTGTAGCTAATGTTCATATATCTAGGGTTCACACCATAGGGTTCACATGAATATTCATACCTTGATATAGGCACGAAGATGAACGATTATTCATACACATATTAATTAATACAAATTTTTGACCAATTTATCCTTTGAACAATTGTTCATACACATATTAATTAATATATTAATTAAATTATTGTTTATTTAATCTCATTTAATAATAACCGTTAGATGAGAAAATGAACGATTAAGATGAGTTAGCATAGTTTGCACAAAATATTGGGTTAATATTTGAACCAACCCCTATATATATATATATATATATATATATATATATATATATTCTAATTCTTTTGTTAACCAAATAAATAGTACAAACTTTGTTAACCAGACATTTTCGTCTTTTTCGTTATTGATACCTTATTCCTTAAATATTTTATTCAGTTGATTATTACATTCCTTAAATATCACAATCATTAATTATCCCATCTACTTAATTGTTTCATCTATGAAATTTCTGATTTAACCTATAAACTTGTTTAAACTTTCTTAATTATCACATTCACTTTCTGGTTTCACCTATAAACTTTAAATAAGAATTATTTTTTCATTTTCTGGTTTTATCTATAAACTTTAATTATTTGGTTTCACCTATGAACTTTAAATAAAAATCATTGTTTCATTTCTTGGTTTCACCTATGAACTTTGCTATCGGGTTTCACCTATGAACTTTAAACTAAAATCATTGTTTCACTTCTTGGTTTCACCTACGAACTTTGATTATTCGGTTTCATCTATGAGCTTTAAATAAAAATCGTTGTTTCACTTTCTGTTTTCACCTATGAACTTTTGATTTTTACCTTTAAACAAAAATTATTTAAATATTATTATTGATTATTTTAAAAAAAATAAAATATGATTATCTTCCAAAAATAAAATATGGTTATCAAATAAAAAATAATTTTTTCTGTTAATACCAAAATCAAGTAAATAACAAGATTCAAAGAGAAATTCAAGAACTCAAATTTGCCATCAAAAGTCTTTTATATATATATAGAGAGAGAGTACGAAAATACAATTCTCGAGCAATGAACAATGTCTTCACATTTATAACGAAACAAAACTATTTATGCCTCAAGGGTATTTACACAAAAACCATATATCTTGAATACAAAATTTAGATTTAACATTTTCCCTCTTTTTGCATTCAAGCATTCCACTTCAATTAGACTAAGATGAGTTTTGAAAGTTCCCGTATAGTATATCAAAATATATTGACAAAAAATAGAGTATGAACAACAAAGAATATGGCCAAAAGATTGCTTTATTGAATGTAATGAATTACACAGAAAAGCAGCAATCTGCTATTTGAGTACAAAGAATAATGAATGAATTATAATCTAGAATCCTATCAAACAATAAAGAATAACCTATCTATTTAAACAAAGAATAAATCCTATAAACTTAGAAAAACAGATAGATAAGCATTATTGGGTTTGAGGTATATACTTCAAAGTTCCTTCGTTCAGAGTTATTCTAACTCTGAACTCAAGGTCTTCAGACTTGATCTCCAGACTTGTACTTGTACGCTTCGAGTCTTCACTTCTTTTAGAACTCTGAAGATTTACTCTTCACAGTTAACACTTGCGCGCATTAAGGTTCTGTACCCGAACTCTGAAGTCTGACATTCCAGAGTTCTGAAGATGACTCTTAAGAGTTATGACTTGTATATTTTTTTGTACTTCGAACTCTGTAAGTTTGTGATGCAGAATTCTGGAGTTAACTCTTCAGACTTTAACACTTGGTGAATTTTGAAGCAATTTAATCTTGATCTTTCATTCTCCCCCTTTGCTTCAAACTTCAAAACCTCTATCAACAAGGATGGGAATGAACTTGTCTGTGATTATCTCTCTGTAGTCAGTTGGCACTCTATTTCCTTCCTCATCCATATCACCAACTTTCTTACCTTGGGCCAATCTTCATGAGATACAATCATGGATCTCTTGCACAGTCTCTTCTCCAAGGAGTTGTTGATCTGCTTCAGAGTACTAGAACTATATTTATGCAAGTCATATTCTGAAGAAAAAGTTCCGATGCAGGTTCTTGCAGATGTACCCAGGTGGATCACAAATGACTGTTCCAATGTGATAATTCTCTATTCCTTCTAGATTGATATCTGGGGGCATCAAGTAAACGCTTTCCTTCTTCAGAGTGAGTGCCATCTGGAAGCCTACCATCCCATCCCATGTAGTTGCTCTTAATATGCCATGAGTTATAACAATAAGCCCTTTTCTGAATTTGGCAACCTTGTCTTCAAAAGGGGCCAACCTATAGTAGATTTGGAGCATATCTTGCAGCTGGATAAAAGGGTAGTCTGCTTTTGAGAACTCATATATTCTTTTATCTTCCCTCTTCATAACAAACACTTGGTAGACTATGGTTCTCCAAGTTTTTTGCCTTACATTCACTAACCTTGTGATGAGCAGGTTTGAGTAGACATCTCTCGTTAATTTTCCAATCTTGTGCATGAATGCTTTATACTCCCTTTTAAAACTGGGAGGCTTCGTTATGAATGAGTCAATATAGGTTATAACCCTAAATTCCTCCTCTATCATGAACAAGTTCCAGAATTTGAATTATAGGAACCATTCTTCCAGATTCAGAGGGTTATCCTTCTCTTTATCTGTTTCTCTAGCCTCTTCTTTTAGTGTAGGGAGACATAGTAATCTGGAGGTAGAAAAACATCTTTGGTCAAGGCCTTCTTTAGGTTTTCATCTATTATTACCAGGTTTAGGTATTCTTTCACCAGCTCCCTCAGCTTTAGCCTTGCCTGTATGTTGATCCTCTCTCTCAGTGATTTGATGATAATCCATTTTCACTTATACGTTGTATTTATGTTTATGTATTTTCAGTTCAAGCGATCTTCACTGAGTATGTTCAGTGATCGCTGAAGAACTTGCATTGTAAATCTATTAGAGACAACAATACTTCAAGAAGACAACACTCACACCAAAGAACCTTCAGCAAACGTTGAAGACTGAAACTGAAGATTAGAGACTGACGAGTACGTGATCTGAA